AATATCTACCAGTGGTTGGTTCAAATACCCCAGATGTTGTACCAGTGGTAATTGTCTGGTCAAAGCTACAACTGGTAAGCTTATGTTTGACCAAAGCTCTACAAGTTATTACTTACCAGAGGTCATTTTCTGCCCAAAATTACTTATGGTCAGTTCTGATATTTAATACATATACTGACTACATACATATACCCTCTAAAGCTGTTTGGCCAAAATTACCAGTGGTCAGTTCCAATACACATTGTTTGTCAAAGTTATACCAGTGGTCAGTTCCAACACATTATGCTAATGACAGATTAGATTTATAGAAAACTAGTGGTCAGTTCAGGTAAGCTACTTCTGCCAAATTTTCTAGGATGTTACTTTGTACTTTAAATCATTAACAATTTTGACAGGCATATATATGTCTGAGATGTTGTATTGAAGTTATACAAATCAGCATCTGTACCCGAGGACTGTTTTCTGGTTTCATCACATTGTGAACAGTCAGTGTAATTCTTAGGTGGATTCTCCTGTAGTAGTTGGTGGTTACCTCAGTGAACAACATATGGGAGGTCTATCACATGGTATCCAGGACAATTAAGTGAAAGTGTAAGCACACAGACAGAAAAAAGACTGCACACACAGACTAGTCTGTTTCCTAGCTTCCTGTAAAACACAAACCACCATGGGTAGGGAGAGATGAACAATGTTTCTCAGATCTTCACTGATAATAAGTGTGTACATCTATGTCACAATGACCTCTGTGTTCTCACTTATACAATAAACCATCACATGTGCATGTATCAAACATCTGCATGATTTACTTGTAACAATCTGTATGACACACCTGTATGATTTACCTGTAACAATCTGTATGACACACCTGTATGATTTACCTGTAACAATCTGTATGACACACCTGTATGATTTACCTGTATCAATCTGTATGACACACCTGTATGATTTACCTGTAACAATCTGTATGACACACCTGTATGATTTACCTGTAACAATCTGTATGACACACCTTTATGATTTACCTGTATCAATCTGTATGACACACCTGTATGATTTACCTGTATCAATCTGTATGACACACCTGTGTCCACCTGTAATGTAGATATGCATTTACCTGTATAAAACGCCTGTATAAAAGCCTGGACAACACATGCACACTTGTTCCCAACAGTTAGGAAACTTTTCATTCATTTTTTGTTCCCTATGCTGTGGATAAAATAATCCAACAGTTAATGACAGAGATTCCATCAGGCACACTGCAAGCTTCCTTACGAGCTTAAAATCATTGTTCTATATTGTTCTGAGCAAAAGATGAGCTTGAAATAAACACAAATATCCAAGACACAGATGAATGAAACATTTTTCCTGAAAAGTGGCAAAATCCTGAGAATCAGATGCTTCCTAAACTCCATAATCCATACACTATACAGAAATCCAGGAGTCTGTGGGAGATCTGACAGATAAAATTTCCTTGTAACCCTTTCATGAGAATTTCTGTTTTCCAGATGACCAAATGATACAACAGGCAAACCACCTATAAATCTTGTATGTGATAGAGTCATGCAGTCCCCAAGTATCTTCTCACTACATTGGACCAACATCTGATCCCAAAGCTACAGTCAGGGATTTCTCTATAGTCACAGACAGATCAGGTTTGTATTTGTGGCGACATCCCTGCCAGTATCTGGTCGTGCTGTCACCGCATGTGGAGATCATGAACAGCAGGACACTGGGCCCTCGGGTTAGCTAGATTTTATCATTGTCTCCAGTACTCTCACAGCTTACAAAATGCACACATATGAAAGAGTCGCATTTAAACGCACACAGTAAATATCTTAAATTCTAACAAAATTATTCAATTTCTTACTTTCTAATCCTTCGAAATAAAACGGAAATCATACCAACATATTAAAACACTCTCTATAATTTCCCTTTTCCTTTATGATTTAATTATTCAAAACATTTACACATCAAAATGAATAAAATAAAATTAGATATTACTACTACAGCCTAAATTGATATTAACTGCGGCATGCTGGGAGAAGTTAATCAATAAATCATGTTCTTCGCTGATTTCTTAGTAAGAAATACCAGAAGAGGCATTACCATTTTCTTCCGAGAGTCTTGTACCATTACACAATCATAAACTCCAGTACAATATAGGAATGCATCCAACAAACTACATACAATTATGCACTCAATCATTTTTCTCGTTTGAAATTTATTCAAATCTCCAATACCTCCATTGTTAACTGCACATGACTTTAAATCCTGCGAAAAGGACAGGAATGACAAATGCACGCAATGAACGGCTGATCCCGTCATTTTGGTAACATGCACGCCTTGTTCCTGGCATGACCTTGAGATCCGAACATGAAAACTCAACACCAAACCATGTACTCTGCAGGAAACCTAAGAAGACTACCCCCAACGGGCCAGTTTGATTTATATATCATCTGATTATGGAGAACAGAACTTTCTTTTTTCTCCGATATCATTGCTGACATTGATGAATTTGTGCGTCTGCTGGTTTTCAATTGACTTTAGAATACTATTCAACTATAGAACAAAAAAATGTTTTGCACTTTTCATGCAGAGCATTCTTTCGTAGAAGCCTAATTCCAACTGGAATTAATAATTCATAATATCATAACATTAGCAGAGCTGCCATGCATTTTTATTTCCCATGTTTTAAGTTGAAAAGTCCACAGCAATTAGCCTGGTATTCTATTCAATCATTTATATCCAAACACCATAGTTATTGATTTTAAAAATTTCAAAGAGATTACATGTGCATATTTCATGTTATTAAAATGGAAATTACATTTTTGTCCAGTTGTAGTTATTTGAAACTACTGTAACACTACATATATTTTTAATGACTGATCTGATGTTTTTATCGACCTATCTCCAACCCTCCCCCATCACCAAAATGGTTTTTACTGTCCTTAAAATGAGCTCTTTTGACCTGGCTATGTTTAGGGTGGCACCCTTGACACCTACTCCAGTTATTAACTCGCCATGGTCACAGGCCGGCTGAACTCTATAGTAGTAAATCGTGTGTGGTCTAATTGGGGAAAAAAGACAGTACTCATTTAAGGAGGTAATGATTATTATAAGGACCAGGTATAATCTCTAGTATCTTTGTGGTAACCATGGAGACTTGTATCATGTTTGTATTGTCAATTACAAAATATACCCATCATCTCTTCAAACTATTTGTGTACTTATCTTTGTATTTGATTATATTACAAAATAATATAAACATGGAATAGAGCAAAGTTTTGGCCTGAAGATGGTCACTAAGGCCTGAAGATGGTCAGTAAGAATGTGAGAAGTATCTTTGTAAATATACACCACCATTGCTTTCCACCTAAACGATCACAAACTATATATCTTATTGAGAAGGATACGTTCACTTAAGATCAAGGAAGTTTTCCAACATTAAAAACATTTTTCAAAATTATGTATATATATTAATACAATATGCTTGAAAAGATCAAATTTACCTCTGTATGTAAACAAAACATGCAAGGATTTTTACAAGTTTATTTTATTTAACTGATGAAATCTGGAAACTTGAGAAAAGAAGATGAAAGTAACATCTTCACTCACCATGAAGCCTAGATTTGACAACATGAAAGTGATAATATGAAAGTGATCTTAATGTCCAATCAAGTATCTTTACACATTATCCAATCAAATGTCTTTACACATTATCCAATCAAATATCTTTACACATTATCACTGATAATTTCCCTCGCAATTAAAGGAATTTTCATTACAAGAAAACTCAGGAGTTTCCAGATGAATTTCCTATTTAATTATGTCAGACACTACAGTACAGTAAGTTTCTTTCCTTCTTTAAACTCAGAAACACTACAGAATTCTGTCACATTTATAAAATACATTTATTATTATTTATATATATTTGTATTTGTTTTTTATCATTTATCTTTCTAAAGTAGCCTTTAAGTAAATTAATGAAATTCTCCAATTTTTATACAAAAGAATATAGGACAAATGCATTTTAATTTTTTTTTATTAAAAGTCAATAAAATAAATAAAATAAATACTATCACCTGAGATCCAAATTTTGCTGTATTAAAATCTATTTTTTCCAAACACTTAAAATGGACAAAAAAATTCCTTTCCTTAAACCTTTGGATGTAAACCAAGCTGGTTTGAGAGCTTTCAATGATATCAGCTATTTGATGAAAGTACTGTAAGAGTTTATATCTATCAATCAAGATAGCAGACAGATGAAATGTACTTTAAAGATCTAGAGTAAATATTTATGTACAGGATATTTTCTTTGTTATATCAACTCTTAAATTGAACCTTCACTGAAAATGAATTCAAAAATCATAATATTGCAACAGCTCTGTTTTCTGTGGTAATATTTCCTTACAATCTATTAAGAAAGGAAATTAAAATTGGAAAACCATAAATGAAAAAGATAATCAACAGGTAATTTGAAAAACAATTTCATACTGGAGAATTTTCTCCTTTTCACACTATTGGTTAGGATTTGGGTTTTTTCATAGGTCTATAAACAATGAAAATTCCCTAAAAGTCCTCACAGACATGAACCATTTCTCCAAAATGATTAAAGTATTGTTTCTCATTTGAATTTAATTCTGATAGCCATGAACAATTTCTCCTGTAAACACGGTCTTTTACTACCACTATAAATCTGATAATTATGAACTAATTTTCCATGTAATTAAATAATTTCTCCCATTTCATTTTCCGCTCTATAAATCTTACCATCACATATAAACACTGACTTTATTACTAGATTTTTAGATTTCTTCTAACCTTAATTTGCCAAATACAATATTTCTGTGACTTTAGACTGAATTCTCCAAATCTACAGATTAATATAATAATACTATTATAATATAAGACCTACCTGACGATGTCATATATGTGCATTATGATGTCCGTAAAAAGTGACGATCGAGGGTTTTATAGTGATAATCCCTTGTAAGACCTACCTGATGATGTCACATGTGCATTACGATGTCCATCAGGAGGTGAGTAGGGTTCAGAGTCTGGAGGACTATCTGGTAACCTGTAACACATTAGTAGATATTTTTTAATGATATATATATATATATCTAACTGAAAATTGCATTACAATGATCTAATCTGAAAAAACAATATAAAAAGTGAAAGTAGAAATATCTTGTGATAAATATGGCTGTGTTTAACATGTCAGCATGATTCAATATAGATCTAATAAGACCACAATATAAATGAAAATCCATGTTAATTCTGATTGTACAAACCACATATCATTTTGTTTTTCACCTCTATTTTCATTTATTCATCCGCTGGTTTTTCTGCTTCACATGAGCTTAGTCAAGGGGGTGGACTTATTACAGGACAACACTTTATGATAATTCTATTGGGCAACAATATACATAAATGTTGCCCTTGATCTTTTTCTCTGGTACATACATTTTGTATATTTACTGATCTCAGAATATCTCTAAAAGTTATGGTCCTTGAATATATCTGTGTAGCACAGGATGTCTCTAAACACATTACCTCTTTTGATCTCTGAATGTCTCTTTATTTATCAACATTGATATTACTACTGGAATACTTCCTAATAAATATTGATAATTAATTATGATTTTCTCCATCTATATGCTCATTATAACCTTTGAATATCTTGAAATTATGTCTGAATGTCTGCTAGTATGTTTTTACAATCATGTCCAAATGTCACCAATATTATGATCTCTAAATGTTTGCATCCATCTCTTTTTACCTCTGAATGTCGTAATATTAAACACTTCAATAAAGCATAAATCAAGAATCTAAATGTGTAGACACTGTCCTTGAAATCAGACTTAATCATTTTTAAATGTTAAAACAGATATACATAGACAATTATTCTGATTAAAAATGGAAAATTGAAGTTAACAGAAACATTGATTATTTGCGACAGGAAAATATTACGCTGAGATAATTTATCATTAGTACACATGTTAAACAGTGCTGCTTTTGTAGCCTGCTTATCTCACACACTCAACAAACCACTGATTCTCTTCTTTATAATGTAGTATATGATATTTTACAAGGATTTTTTTGGTGACTTTCCAAATTACCTGACACCATACCCTACAAATCACACAACTTGTTCTTCGGAGTGACCTTAAGTCTGTCTATTTATAAATTTTTGCACTCAAAACATGCAATGTAGTCCGGTGTGTACCTCAGTGTACCTTAATACAATACAGTTTTGTAGAAATTTGTTTTCACAGTTGAAACATTTCTGCTTCCAATTTGCATCCAAATGTATATTTAACTCATAAATAAAATTTCTGAAAATATTTAGTTGAACAAAGTGAAGAAATGATTTCATATGTTATTTTTATCTATACTTTTTGTTCTATTTAGAACACCTTCCATTTTTATGCAAATTATCAATTTTTCACAGGCTGTTTCTGTTGTTGAATATACATCACAATTAGAAATGTGTCTTAATTAATTAGCTACAGGACAGTTTGTATCTACTACAAAGGCTTCTATATTGACTGTAACTATAATATCTTGTCAAGTATATGGTACGTTGAAATATAAATTATCTTGCTGTCAAGTTTGAAACATTCCCAAAGTGATCCAATACACCTCTGTAATGTCTTGCTTTAGCACAACCTATTAAACAAATTTAAATAAAATTTCGCACGAAAACATAAACTCAAACAATCAATACTGATTTAAGATTTTCTCCATTTAAGATTGCAAAATTGAAATAACATATTGATATCTAAATTTCAATGGTTTTTAAATTTGACTTATTATAGTGTGTTGAGTTGTTAAGATAATAACATGATTCATTTTTCACTGAAAAAATCAATCCAAAATTCTGACAGAATTTTAACAATTGGTAATCATCCAAACTAAATTCATAGATTTCAAATTAATTTATTATAAACAAGTATTTTTTAAGAAGTGAATTGCAATGTTTATAAAAAATCACATAATAAAAGACTAGTAAGATTTACTACCATTCAAATTTGAATTAAAATTCAAAATTAAGAAAAAAAATGAAATATGAAAATTAAATAAATGTCAACGTTTATGACCAGTTTTCAACCATTTTATTGTTTCCTATTAAGTAATCAATAACATTTGCTAAGTGTTTGAACTGAGTGTTGATTAAATCATTATTAATCAAATGCTACAGTAAACACATTAGCTGAAAATGATATCATTATAATCTACAGGTTTTTATATATATATATAAACCATAAATAATAAAGATATTTTGTACACTATATAAAAAATCTAATGTTGAAAAAGGAATGATGTTGCAATTCTTTTCCCCAATATTAAATTTAATTTACATTGTTTTGAGCTGTAAGTGAAATGTCAAGATTTTTTTCAGCGAGAGAGACTGAAATTTTTCTAATCATTCCTTTGCCATTAGGCAGGTTTTTGACATCATTTAAAAAGTCATCAACAATGCTCAAGGGCAACGTCTTCTGACATCTAAAGATTAATAAGTATTGTAATCGACTGTGAAAAATACCACAATGTACTATCACCTGTTTATGTAAGAAATTCCTTGTGTAACTCTGGTTCTAATTTATAGTTTTTAAAACTTATGACACATTCAATATTGATTTATTACTTAGTACAGAGATAAAATATTTAGAAAACACCGACCAACTGTCTGTAAACAACATATAATATCAATATTTCCCTATTGACAACATATAATATCAATATTTCCCTATTGACAACATATAATATCAATATTTCCCTATTTATTATTTCCTTTTTCTGATTTAGTATAAATTTATTTAATCAGTTTAATAATCATAGAATATTAAATTAAAATTTTAAATAAATTTAAAGCCTTCAAAGATTTCTTTTTTAACAAATACATAAAATTATCTAGGTGGACCAATCAAAAGACAGAAAAAAGCACGAAACTGAACTGAATATATGCTCTTCTTAAGGTGATATTCATATTGAATTAAACAGGAATTCAAACTATCAACTATGGCTGACCAGACATCACGGTCAACACCGACTAATACCAGAATCGTTACGGAATATTGAGGAATTATAAAGTTTTAATGATTTAACAAATAATATTTAACAGTACTATTCTGATTTTAATTATTTTCCAACCAAAAGATGAAAACAAAAATGATTTGTTAGGAAAAGATTGGAATTCTAAGATAATGCTTCTTGATGATTTATTTTACTGACAATGACCAATTAAAAAGAATTCATTTAAAGACAGAAATATTTTTATAATTGATATTTAAAATAAAGCTGGACTTGTAATAAAATTAATTTACTAAACTTCTAAAAATCACTATGATTTTTCAATGCTTTCGCTTAAAAAATGTTGCTTTTTAATTACTAATACTAAAAAATAAATAAAAACAATCTTTTTCTAAAAAGAATTATTTTCTCATATAAATTAATACATAACATTTTTATTCTCTTAATACAAATAGCTGAAATATTTCAAAATCCCTTCCAAAAAATTATGAAGTCTATTTTTTGTACATTGGATATAAAATAAACATCTATAAATTCAAGAGTGATTAAAATTAAGAATAAAAACAAATGTCAATTAAAAATTGCGTAATACTTAAAACATTGCTAAAATTGACTGCCTAGGATAAAATAGGAAGTGAATCACAAATTGAATTAATAGAAAAAAAATCACAAAATACATGTAAGTTTTAGGTAAATAATCAATATCTGAAAACAAATACACCATACAGAGGAATAGATTGATCAGCTGTTCCACATGAAGCGAGAAATGGAAGCATATTCAATCAAGTCTAACGAGCACGTCAGATATTAAGGACCTGTATTAGGCGTTATACAAGAGAACTGATGTGAGAGTTTATAAGCCAATAATCTGTGAAGCGACACTTACGATCACAACAACGTGAAACTTACAGGAGATACTCGAGTTTGTTGGTACGATACGCCACGGGTATAGCCTACTGCCTCAGAGTGTTCAAAGATGGTGTCTGCTTGTAATGGGGCCGAGCAAATAAACTGGCCCGATACGTCACGCCTCACAAACTCAATACAGTGGCCAGGCAGTTAGATCCCGCCCTTACCAAAACCACTCAAATTTCTTTCTTTTTCTGTTGATGTATCTATGAGAATTATCAACTGTAATGGTATTTTATTGAATCTTTCAAAAGAGAACATATCTGATAGAGGAATTAGTATTTTATGGCTAGAAGCTGTAAATTTTCACAATTAAATTGAATAAAGTATATATCATTATACCACTAGGTACCAGCATACAACTTTGTCATTATTTCAAAAACTGAAATCTAAAAGCCTTTATCAAAACAAGCAATCTAAATTGTAATGTTTGGGAGTATGATTGAATTGGAAGCACACCTCACTTCCTGCAAATCTAACAAAACACCTGTATCTACATTGATGCTTTTAAGGTTTGTCTGTAGTGTATAACTAATACACTTCCTTGATGTTGAAGTGTCATTAGATTCACTTATAATGTAAAAACACATTCTTACCTCTGTCAGGTACTTTTTAACTTATGCAGTGCAAAACTACATACTATGATTTTCAATATTTTGGTCTTTCTTTCACTTGCAAAATTAAAGATAAAAGTATTTTTATTATGTGAAACTGTTTCATGTCTATCCCATACATGTACTGTCCCATTACAACCTGATTAAACTTCTCTAATCATGGATTCATTAATTAACCAACAACTTCTCAATTTACACAGTCATAAGATCTGATTGAATAATTTTAAACGCATCTCATCAATCATTTCATGGTTTGAGAAATAAATTGCCATAGAAAGTCAATGAATTTAGCTAAATGACCTTCTGACCTTTGACAATAAGGCTAAACAACTTTGTTGCTTCCTAATTATTTCAAACAGAAAACATACTGAAAGTTGATTACGACCTCTGACCTTGAATTGTTAAACTTTGAGATTTTGTTCAAGTAAATATGTTTGAAATATTCCATTCAGTACTTATTTCCCATTTTTGAATGCTTTCAGCCCTGTCTATCTTGACTTAATAGATAGTATACCCCTGCAGGCTTATTACATTTATACCTTTTCTTGATAAAAAGTGATACATCACAAAACTTCAATTAACCAGGTGACCTTTGACCTTAAGTTTTAGTTTCACTGGCAATAAGTATTGTGGTATTTTATGCATGTGAATGTATATGTTTTTCTTATTTTCTATTTGTTATGAACTTACCATATTTGCAATTTTGCAACAGTGACCTTTGATATTGGTTCAACTCTCTCCGTGAAAAATAAATCCTTCATCTTGTGATATACAAGACAGGGGAATTTGTGATGAACATATTGATTCACCATAAGCAGTTATCCTTTACAATCTTGTTTCATTATTCTTGATTTGAAATTTGTTGCCTAACAACTGATTCATTATTTTTATCAAAGTGTCATTACACCAAGAACTCTCTAGAAATGAAATCAAGAATGTACTCTTGCTGGAAGTCATTCTTGTAGTGTTTTGTTTTGTAGAAGTGTAAGTAAATCTGATCAATTGTCCTAAATTCCTTTTTGTGTAAACTAATTCTAAACATTAAAAAGAAGAATAGAAATGGATATGCTTATTGGTAATTATTAGTTCAACTGAGATAATTCATTTTTGGAAAAAAAAAAATCCTGATATCATGTTTAGAGAAAATCACTTATTTTTCTTAACTACCATATTGTGTCATGGTTACAACAGACAGGATTATGACAGTTAAAAGTAAACAGTCTGGTAAGAGCACCTGTAATTACAAGGATGGTGTAAACCAAGGCCAAATGACACAACATCAAAGGCTATGTTCTGTGTCATCAATGCCAAGTTCTTTGTCATCAGATAGAGAGTATTGTGTCAGCAACAAAGTGTATTGGGTCAGGGTTCTTAGATGTCTTTGTGATAAAAAGATCTAATTTGTTTGGTTTATGTTCAAACATTAGACCTTTATCCATAACATTCAGATGATGTGGTTCCCAAATATCATTGGTTTCCTATTGAAAACGAAATGCTTTCCTCATAACAGAGATTAAACTCTTCATTAGAACACAACTCTACAAAGACAGCTTTCCTTTTTAATAAAGCTTTTATCACAAATATCGGTGAAGGATTTGATAATTTTTAAAATTTTAGAATGTGAAAATTGAGTAAGCATTGTTTGCATTTTAGTTTCCAGAAGCAGTACTATTCATATACAAGAATAAAGTGGTTTGCAGTTCTAGACTTTAAGCTGTTTTTAATTACCTTGGTTTAATCAGGAGCATATTGTAGGTAATTTTCATTTCACAATTAATTGTTCTGGTTTTTCTGTAAACCTTTAGCACTTAAGTACAGACAACTATTTTTCAGAAAACTATAGTCTTGATTTAATTCAAAATTAGCCAACAGATTAATAGGTTTTTTTTTTTGAGTAAAACTATCAACTTTTTTCTAACCAATCACAGATCAGAAAATAATTTCCAGCAGACATCTGTCAGTTTCTAGCCAATCAGAATAGACAATTATTTTCAAATATCTATAATTTTTGAACTTTTTATGTAGTCAGTCATACCAAACAGGTTATTTCTAGCTAATGGTGTCTTATCTAAGTATGAGACCTAAGTATGAGACCTACGTGTGTAACCTAAGCATAAGACCTAAGCATGGGATTTAGGCATAGGATCTAGCTGAGCCAATCAAAGACATTATACTCAGAAAAGCCTTCAGTAGAACAATCAACTGACCCAGTGTCACCAACTCAACTGATTTGGTCAAGTCAATCTGATATAAGCCATACTATGACCTGCATAGTTCATGAATCAGCTGATTTTTTCTTAATTTTGATCAGCATTTCAAAATTCTACAATCAATAGTTAAAATAATGTTCAAATACTTGTACTTGTGACAACTAAAGAACTAATGATAAGGTCACTTTCCATGATGAGCCGTTAAAACACCCTGCCACCCTTGATTGTGAAGGGCCATGTCCTGATATTAGATGCCTGCTTGTCAGTGACACTGCTGTTTCATTGCTGTTGTAACATTAGTTGTTGCATTATCGTAAACCAATTAGAAAACTTGTTGCAGCAAGTTTTATTACTGTATCATTGTTAGACTGTAATAGGCTCCCAAAAGTCTATATGTACAATATCAGCATCATAAAATAATTACAGTAAGCTGTTGAATACTGTAATTAAAGCCTTATACTGAAGGTTTCTGATGGAGAGACAGACGGATGCAGAGAAAACATAGTCTCCCTGGTTTACTTGCAGGAACGGTTTTTTTTAGAGACCAAATTGTGGATCAAATGTTTATAATACACATGCTCAAATATTGTAATCCAATCAGAAACTGTGTCTTATGTGTTGACCTGTGAGCCAATCATAGACATTGTAACATGACTACAACAAAAGCTGTATTGTATCATTCTATATATTTATCCCATCAAAGGCACTGTTATATGGTTAAAAGGCGGATCCTCACACTCTACATATTCATCCAATCATAGTCATTGTTACATGGTTAGGACAAAAGGTGGATTGTCACACTCTATATCTTCATCCAATCATAGACACTGTTATATGGCTATAACAAACGCTGTACTATATCATCCTTTACATTTATCCAATCATAGACAAGACTACATTGGCCACTACACAGAATGAATTGGATCAACTTATATTTTTCATCATTATAAGAGAGATGATAATCTGTATTATACAGCCATTAAATCTGGTATTATATTCCTCATATTAGGACTCACAGTAGCAGAAATATTTAAATATTTTGTAACCCTCTGGAGGAACACTTTTTACTTACGGGTGCATGGCTGGGTTGTCATATCCTCCTTGTCCATCCATCGATGTGACAGCAGGACATGAGTAGTTTATGTTATGCATGTGACCATTCATGACTGCATTGGAGGTGGTACAGGGCGTTGCCAAAGAGACCGTCTTACTTGGGTAGCAAAGGTCTGGTGGCTGTTGACACATTTGGGGACGTCCTGTGTTGCTGTATGCCATTGCAGGGATAACTTCATCTGGTAGACATCTGGCAACAAAATGACAAAATTATGAACAATCACAGATAGAGCCATGATATAAGGAAATCTCTATAATGTAAAATGATCTGTGCCCTGATATTATATCTCCTTAAATGGTTCAGGTATTAGCATCACCTTGGAATGGAGCCTTCTTAAAGAGCAAAAAATAAAATATTGAATCTTTTCTTGTATTTGTTGTTTAATCTAACCAAATGATTAAATTGATTATACATGTATGAAAGAAAATTGAGCAGTGTGCTGGACATCAAACCACTGGCACTCAACTTCAGTCCAAAGATCTACCACAAATCACACTACAAGGAAACCTTCCACACTACTTAATACTGGTAGATGTGTTTAGCCCAGAACACCACATCAGCCCAGGTTCTCATTAGAGACTAAAGACTCCTTAAGGATTTAACACCCTTCATTGTTTGATCTTTATTTCTGTTTCCATGAAATAATCTTTCACAATCGAATCCAAGTTGGGTGCTTGTCAACCATTCTGTTCTGATCAGTTCCAAAATCAAAAGGGCACAACTAGGTAGTGACAGTAGCCTCCACATGTAATTTGAGAAAGATCCAATTAGCATTTAATTAAGCAATTAATCTAAATTTCCTCAATGATTATGATATGTCAGATGGGCTTATGAATTCTTCATCAAATCTCTTACATTGGAAACAACTACATAGATCACCAGTCATACAAAAGTTGACATTATTACAGGTGTGTCACAAAATTTCAAAACTGATTTAAGTCTCCTGTTTACGTTAAAACTGTTTGAGTACATTGTGAACCTGTGGTATGAGATCATGAACAATTTTAGGTTAATCAAAGTCTATGCAACAGGTCTGTTTCATTCAACAGTGGTGAAATTTGCTTTTTTTCCTTCCATCATTTTGCAAATCTTGTCTTTTAATTCAGATTATATTTCAGCGTTATCTTAATTGATATTTTATTTGTAAATATTTACATCTATACAAATAGTTTGTAATTTATCATATTTAATCATTAATACTCATGATAATCCACAATATCATAATTTTTTAACAAGTCCCCTTCTGGCCCAAACAAGCTACTACACTGTAATTAACTTAAATTTTCTAAAAATAGTAACACTGACCCTGACCATGACTTAACAACCAGAAAGACAAGGCTGTGCAGGATAATTTGATACTTTATAAGAGTGTGAATTTTGATGAGAATCCTATAGCACTTATCATGATTTTCTAACAATAGTAACAGTAACCTTGACCTTTTCACAACAACCCTAAATCTGAGTGTTGTCTGAGAAAATTTGATGCTTTACATATAAGTATGTGCAGTTTTATGAGAATCCCTCAAAGAATGAAACTGCTACAATGCGAACAAACTTTCACAGACACAGGGGATGGGTACTGGGATGGACACAGGGGTGGATAAAGGGAAGGACACAGGGATGGATACAGGGATGGTCACAGGGATGGGCACAGGGATGGGCTCAGGGATGGACACAGGGATGGATAAAGGAATGGACGCAGGGATGGTCACAGGGATGGACACAGGGATGGGCACAGGGATGGACACAGGGATGGACACAGGGATGGATAAAGGGATGGACACAGGGATGGATACAGGGATGGTCACAGGGATGGTCACAGGGATGGACACAGGGGTGGACACAGGGATGGACACAGGGATTGATAAAGGGATGGGCACAAGGATGGACACAGGGATGGATAAAGGGATGGACACAGGGGTGGATAAAGGGAAGGACACAGGTATTGATACAGGGATGGTCACAGGGATGGTCACAGGGGTGGACACAGGGGTGGACACAGGGGTGGACACAGGGATGGACACAGGGGTGGACACAGGGATGGACACAGGGATGGACACAGTGTTGGACACAGGTCTGGACACAGGGATGGACAAAGTGTTGGTCACAGGGATGGACACAGGTGTGGAAACAGGGATGGACACAGGGATGGACACAATGATGGATTGATTGAGTGGAAAACTATAGTCCTCCTAACAAACAAGTTCTCCATGCTTTTAGATTTGTTTGCTTGTTTATTGGGTTCGTTGCCTAATTAACAGCCAGGGTTATTTAAGGTAGGGATCGCTTGTCGTAGCTGGTGGCTACCTATTGTAAAACATGTCTATCTGACCAACTTGACAAAAATTGCAACAGCGTAGATTGGTCCATTTCTCAGCCTCCTGACAAACAAACCTGCCAACAGCTGGGAGAGTCCAAAAAAGCACCTAGGATCTGTTCCTGAGGTTACTTAGCCCCGTTTTAGATGGTAAATTTGAACTTTGGTATATTTACACATACAGTTGGTCTTTATGTATGTGGTGGATTATTCATCTCTTTGTGATAAATTACATATTTACAAACCTCTGTTACCCATGCATCTTCTCCCTTGGTTTATATTTACAAACCTCTGTTACCCATGCATCTTCTCCCTTGGTTTATATTTACAAACCTCTGTAACCATGCATCTTCTCCCTCAGTTTATATCCAAGATTCTTTGTTGTTGAATGTGTTTCAAGTATCAAAATAAAAACATTTACTTTTGTCTGGAAAACCCATCAGACCTATTGGAATATATGCAGCACTATCTGCATACTGATAAGTTCTGTGATATCAATTAGGATATGGGTTTTCTTCTTAGTTTTTTGGGACAGTCTGCTTGTCCATCTTCCTAGTGCTATTGTTAAAGTGTTAAAGCTTTCTATCCAGAATGAGCACACCATGATGATACCCTACCTCTAATTAACATATTCTTGTATAAGATACAGTCAATTTTGCATATGTGATACCACCAAATGTGAAAAGACTATTTTCACAGAACATTCATTATCTGCTTAGTCAACAGCACAATATGCACCAATTCGTTTTACTCTGAAACAGACTCAATTTATTTTTGTTTCAACACTTTTAATAAACTAACATGTGTAAGATGTAACAAAGTAATAAAACTAAATCCACACAAAACCAAAGACCTTGTCATCAAGATCACCCACTCATGTTCATTTGTAAAATATATACATTTCAATTGAACAACATGGGAAACTAGAAAAGATATCAGCCAATCAGGTCAAGGCAGTCTCATTAAATATGCGCAGAATTTGCCAATAATCAAACTTCAACAAAGGGTTAAGGTAACAAGTCTACCAAGCAAGTATCATCATAATTGATTTGAAAGATGACCTGTGGAAAGCATTCAGTTAGAGTGTCAAAAGATATCAGCCAATCAGGTCACAAAAAATATGTATAGAATTCAAAGATAATCAAACTTGAACAAGAATTTAACTTAATAAGTCTACAAAGCAAGTTTCCTAAAAATCTTATCATTCCTTCATAAGATAATTTGCAGTAAGATTCCCATAGTGTGATTAAAGAAATCAGTCAATCAGGTCACAGCAGCCTTATTTAATGTGTGCGGGATTTGCCGTTTATCAAACTTTGTCAAGGGTTTAAGGTAACACGTGTACTAACCAAATTTCATCAAAATCCTAACAGTCCTTCAAAATATATGTGGAAAGCAGCATCTTAGAGTGGTTAAAGAAATTAGCCAATCAAGTCACTGCAGCCTCATTAAATATGCAAGGTATTCATCGTTAACCAAACTCAGCCGAGGGATTAAGGTAACAAGTGTTTCATTAAAATCTGACCAGTCTTTCAAAAGATATCATGCGAAAAGCAGCATCCGAAAGGCAAAGGACGGAAGGAAGGAAGGACTGACGAACAGAACCAATTTGAATATCCCCTGCCAACTTCATTCAGCAGGGGATAACAAAGCAGAATTCACACAAATACTTTGAGCAGATATGAGAGGGACTAAAGCTATTTGAGTGTATAGAGGTGAACCTTTCAACAATATGAAGTAATATGATTACACAAAGTCTAATATGAATCTGCTGACCATTGATGCTATATGACTATACCAAGCATTCCACCCTCTGAGTTCATTTGACGATACAAAGCAGTGATCCTGGGGATTCAGATTTCCAAGTCCTTGACTCATCCTTTTCCAGTGGGACTCACCCAAACTCTGGAAACCCACACTATATCTCTTAGTAAGGGGACTCAACAAAATGTTTGTAATGGTGTTCTGGACTCGCATGAAAAAAACCTAATATAATAGTTAGTAATAATATGATCTTTCCTTCCTTACTGTAAAGAATGTTAATTGAACTTAATCTTGATTTCAACTAAAAATATTTCCATTTAAGACATAAACAATCTCACCTGATACAAAAAGAAGCAAACAGTGCTGATTCTAAAACTATTGCTTTATACTGTAACTAAATATCTGCATGTACACCTCTACCCACAAATATACCACTTCTTCATTTTTGCAGAATCATCAGTTTAAGAACTAAAATCAAAGGTTGTTTGCTAGAGGTTAAGATGGAGAAAAGGATGTACAGAATGTAAAGTTAGATTGTGCACAAGAGGGGTAAGGATGGAGAGAAGGATGTGTACAGGGATCTAGGATGGAGAGAGATATGTACAGGGTGTACAGGTAGATTGTGTACTGAGGTTTAGGATGGAGAGAGAGATGTACAGTGGTTTAGGATGGAGAGAGAGATATACAGGGTGCAAAGGTTGATTGTGTACAGTGGTTTAGGATGGAGAGAGAGAGATGTACAGGGTGTAAAGGTAGATTGTGCACAAGGGGGGTAAGGATGGAGAGAGGGATGTGTACAGGGATCTAGGATGGAGAGAGAGATGTACAGGGTGTAAAGGCAGATTGTGTACAGTGGTTTAGGATGGAGAGAAAGAGATGTACAGGGTGTAAAGGTAGATTGTGTACAGTGGTTTAGGATGGAGAGAAAGATGTACAGGGTGTAAAGGTAGATTGTGTACAGTGGTTTAGGATGGAGAGAGAGATGAACAGGGTGTAATGGTAGATTGTGTACAGTGGTTTAGGATGGAGAGAGAGATGTACAGGGTGTAATGGTAGATTGTGTACAGTGGTTTAGGATGGAGAGAGAGATGAACAGGGTGTAATGGTA